CAGTTCTCTGACCTTTCTTCCATTGATCAACTGAGATAATATTTATAAAACACTGTAGTAGGTGCTTAATAAATGCTTGCTCCTTTTCCTCATGTGTCTTTCTCTCTGCTTTCCTTTGTCACTGGCTCTGGCCAACTTTCCCTCTCCCTATCTCTGTCAGTTTTTTCTCTGTGACTTCTCATCTCCTACACAAGCTGGAGAATTAAGGCAACTGCATTTTTTTTTTTGACCTGGCCTCCATCCTGCTGTTGCTGTTTATTTTTTTCCTGGACAGGTTCCATGGCCAATTTCACAAACCACCAATCTTCTTCCATAGTTTTCATCCAACTAATTCTTCCAGGAACCTTTCTTGAAATACAACCCTGCCTTTCCCCAATTGACGAATGGTCCAAGGATATGAACAGGCTGTTTTCAGATGAAGAAATTAAAGCCATCTATAGTCATATGAAAAATGCTCTAAATCACTATTGATTAGAGAAATGCAAATTAAAACAACTGAGGTACCACATCACACCTATCAGATTGGCTAACATGACAAAATCGGAAAATGATAAATGTTAGAGAAGATATGGGAAAATTGGAACACTAATGTATTGTTGGTGGAGTCATGAACTGATCCAACCATTCTGGAGAGCAATTTGGAACTATGTCCAAAGGGTTATAAAACTGTGTATACCCTTTGATCCAGCAATACCATTTATGGGTCTGTATCCCAAAGAGATCATAAGAATGGGAAAAGGACGCACATGTATAAAAATATGTACAGCAGCTCTTTTTGTGGTAGAAAAGAATTGAAAATTGAGGTGATATCTTTCAATTGAGGAATAACTGAACAAGTTGTGCTATAGAATGTAATGGAATACTATTATTCAATAAGAAATGAAAGACTTACATGAACTGATGCTGAATGAAGTGAGCAGAACCAGGAGAGCACCGTACATAGTAAGAACAACATTGTGCGATGACCGACTTTGTCAGACTTAGCTCTTCTCAGCAATGCAATGATCTAAGACAACTCCAAAAGGCTCATGGTGGAAAACACTGTCCACACCCAGAGAAAGAACTGTGGAGTCAGAATGCAGATCTAAGCATACTATTTTCTCTCTCTCTTTTTTTTTCTTTCTTAAGGTTTTTCTCTTTGGTTCTGATTCTTCTTTATAATATGACTAATGTGAAAATATATTTCATATGATTGTACATGTATAGGCTATTGCAGATTACATGCCATCTGGAGGGGAGGAAGGGGAAGGAGGGGGGGAAATTTTAAAGTGAATGTTGAAAACTAAAATTAATTAATTTTTAAAAAAAGAAATATAAACCTTCTTTCCTAAGAGCAAAATTGACATGTTGTTCTACCAAGTTAACCCTCCTTCAGACAGTACAGCAGTCCTGTCATCACCTGAGCCTAGACCTCTTCTGCCAGTGATGTTCAATGTCATAGAATTTCGGAATTGGAATTACCTTACAGATCATTGTTATGCAGAACGTATCTAGTGGCAGAGCTAGCATTTTAACCGTGTACTGCAATGCCAAATCCAGCTTCCTCTCTATAGCATTAAGCTGGATGAGAAGCGCTGATGACAGAGAACTGAGAATTAAGACCTGGGTTCAAATACTGCCTTTGTCACATACTATGTTTGGGCAAGCCAATTAACCTATCAGACCACGAGGCAACCCTAAACCGGAGGTGTGTAGAAGGTACGGAGCTGCCTAGGTGGAGAGAGTTTCCGCACAGGAGTTCAGGACACTGATGATACACAGGCTCTCCCCACGCTGGCTGAAAAGCACCGTAATTAGCAAATGTGCCCAAGAAGCACAAGTACATGGTAGCAGCAAGAGTGGAGACTGCTTCCATAGATTAGCCATCATGGTGATGTTCAGTCAGTTTGAGTCATGTCCAACGCTTTGTGACCCCGTTTGGGGTTTTCTTGGCAAAGGTACTGGCATGGTTTTCCATTTCCTTCTCCAGATCATTTTACAGATGGGGAAACTGAGGAAAACAGGGTTAAGTGACTTGCTAAGGGTTACACAGCTAGTAAGTGTCTGAGGTCAATAAGACGAGTCTTCCTGATGCCTGGGCTGGCACTCTAACCACTTAGCTGCCCTGGTAGCTGTTGAATATGAAACTAGCTTATTTCTTAATGAGTTCTTATTTAACTATCTTATATGATGCTGCTGTTGTTTTAGGAAGCAATTCCTGGCAAATCTTATCAAGCCTTTGGATTATTTTAATTATTTAAAAACATATTTTACAAGAAATTAGAAAAAAAGAATTTGAATTGCCATAGGATCTTGTACAGACTTGCTTTTAAACTTGGGCAGGCATCATTGTTGCTGCGAATTCAGTTGATAAAATCTCTTTGGCAGATTTAATATCTAGCATACTTTTTCCCCTCAAGGAACTAGATAGTTATAGAGATATTGGTGAAAATGGAGAGACAGAGACTGTGTGTTTATAAAGAGGCTCTTGGTGGCTGCTTGACAACTTTGAGCTGGAAAAAACAAAAATTTGACATCAGTAAAATGTGTTTCTTTTTTAAAAACTCTTTGTACTTAAAGAGATAGAGAAATTCCCACTTAAAATAACTGCAGAAAATAAAAAATACTTGGGAATCTGCCTGCCAAGACACCACAGGAACTATATGAATACAACTACAAAATACACCAATAAAGACAGGTCTGCATAAATGGAGAAACATACAATTGCTATGGGTGGGCCAAGCCAATTTAATATAAATGATAATACTATGTAAATTAATTTACTTCTTCAGTGCCATATGAATCAAACTACCAAAAGATTATTTTATAGAGCTATAAATTTTTTTTTAAAAACTCATTTAAAAGAACAAAAAGTCCAAGAATCTTAAGGGAAATAGTGAAAAAAGTGGAGAGGAAAGAGGCCTATCAGTATCAGATCTCAAACTATGCTACAGAGCAGTTATAAAAATAAAGTTGGTACCAGTCAAGAAAAAGAGAAGTTGGTCAGTAGAACAGATTAGGTACCCAATATATAGAAGCAGATGAACATAGTAACTTATTATTTGATCAACCCCAAAATCCCACCATTAGGGTAAGTACTTGACAAAAACTTTAAGAAAACTGGAAAGTAATCTGGCAGAAACTAAATCTAGACCAACAGAGCCTACCAAAATGAGCTCCAAACAGAATTTAAACAACAAAGGTGGCATATATAAACAAATTAGAGGAGTGAGAAATTACTTGCCTGATCTATTGAGAAGGGAGGGAGAAAGAAAGGGAAGGAGGATTTATTAAACCCCTGCGTGGCCAAACACAGAAAGTAAAATGAATAGTTTTGATTACTTAAAAAGTTTTTGCACAAATAAAACTAATAGAGCTAAAATTAGAATGTTAAAGGCTTCATTTCTAAGATTTATAGGGAACTCATTAAAATTTATATGAATAAGGAGCAACATTACTCAAAGGATATGAACAGGCAGTTTTCAGAGGAAAAAACCCAGGCTATCAATAGCCATTTGGGGAAAAAAATGCTGTAAATCATTAATAATTAGAGAAATGCAAATAAAATAACTCTGAACAAGGTTTTACCTCATGCCCATTGGATTGGTAAAGTGGACATAAAGGGGAAAATGACAAATTCTAGAGGAGCTATGAGAAAATAGGTATATTAATGTACTGTTGTTGGAATGGTGAACTCCTCTAGCCATTCTGGAAAGCAATTTGGGAATTCTTCCCCCAAAGCAATTAAACTGTGCATACCCTTTAGCCCAGTAATTCATACTACTAGGTCTATACTCCAGAGAGATTAAAGAAGGAGGAAAAGGACTCATATGTACAAAAATATTTGTAGCAGCTCTGTTCAGGGTGACAAAGAATTGGAAATTGAGGGAGTGTCCATTGAGAGAGGAACGACTAAATAAGTTGTGGCATCTGAGTGTGAGGGAATGCTGTTATACTGTAAGAAGTGATGAAGAGAACCCTGGGAAAGAAACCAGGGACGATGCAGACTCAAGTCAGCAAGAGCAAGAGGACAATTTATACAATAATAACAATATTGTAGAAACAACTTCGAAAGACTTAGGAGCCCTGTTCAACACAAGGACTGATCACGATTCTAGACAGCTCATGAGGAAACATGCAGCCCACTTCGAGAGGTGATAGACTCAGAACGTAGATAATCTATCTGTCTATCTCGTGGTCAGTGTCCAGAATGTGGTCATTTGTTTTACTGCACTAGAAATGCCTATAATGGCAGTTTTGTTCTTGCTTTCTCAGGGGAGGGGGAAGAGGTGGAAGAGTGGATCTTCATTGGGAAAAATAATAATAATTCTTAAAAGCTGTTGTACTTTGATAAACACATAAACAAGACCTTAGCTGACTGAATGTGCCCTAGGCTCTTAGGAGTTTGGAAAGGCCCAGGTTGGGCCCTCTCCAGCTGCCTCATAATGCAGGAGAGCCGATATGGAACAAAGTGTACTGGAGAATGAGGCCCAAGAAAGACACCCACCCATAGCTTAGCTCTTCAGTCTGGGAAATGAAGTCCTAGAAACATCTCTGCCTTTACCCTTGGCCCTTCTTGGTCTCCTTTTGGTAGTGGATATCACATATCCCCTAATAATTTGGTCGCACAGTACTTGATTTTGGCAGTACATGTAAATTTTAAACAGGTAAGACTTCTCTCTTAGAACTTCACAGCCTTGGCATGTGCATGTACATCTGGAACTAATTTAGAAGAAGTCACTTCTTTTGTCCTAAGGGCAGTAGATGGATCCTTATTTCTTTCCCTTGTGGTGTTTCCTACAGTCTCATGCTGATGGAATCCAGCCTTTTTTTCAGATTTATTTACTCATTTTGGAAATGATAGGGTTACGCTCATGTATATTTTCCATCAATCAAAGATTTGCTCCTTTATTGTTGTTTTGCCAGGAACAAATACGTCAGTAACTTAGGAAAAAAATTTGGAGTTTTAAGGTCAAATTATCTTCTGGGAAGCTTTCTGCTAATTTTATTTCCTCTTTTAGGAGCTGGGAATCCAAAATGTAAGGTTGCCATTGTCATGGGTAGAAGTAAGAATTCTTCTGCACCCAGGTAATAAAACAAGTTCTGATTTTATAGTTTGTTTAGAAACCAAAGATAGTTTCACAGAAATGAAACCTAATTTCCAGCAAGCGTACTAGAATTTAAAGTATGTTGTGAAAGTAAATTTGATTTAACTATTATTCACAATAATTTTGTCAGAGGATGTATTTGGAAAAGGTTTTGGAAAGTGTTCTTTCTGTGTGTACTTCACTGTGGAATTTCCTGCATTTATAAAGTTTCCCCTAATTTTCAGAAGTGTGTGGTTAACCTTCTATCATTTCACTTGTAGTTCTATTTCAGTCAAGTGCAGCAGTCTTGAAATGTTTACTTCTTATGCACATCTTTCAAAATTATCCACTAGGTACACAAAAGAAAAACCTTGACAAAAATCAATTTCATTTTTACAAAGTTGTCACTTCCACTTATCTTTAAAGTCATCACGTACTTTTGCCTTCTGTATTATTCCAAATCAAAGCCTAAGTCTCTCAGTGCTGCTGTGTTTCTTTGCATTTTTGCCATTTCAGACATTGTTGCTTTCATGGTATAAAAATAAAAAAGAGCCATTATTGCAAGCCATCCTGACATCTCTTATTTCTTATTGGAACAGACACAAACAACACAGCATGATACTAGTTCCAATCAACACACCAGGAGTGGAATTAGTAAGGCCAGTGTCAGTCTTTGGATATTTGGGTAAGTGAGAAATATATACTTGCATATTAATTTAATTTGAAAAATATTTATTAAATATCTGCTATATACCAAAGTGCTTGGTATTTTCAACACCAAGTTGAAAAAATACCGCCCCTGCCCTCCAAGATCTTAAAATCTAATTGAGGGAGATATATAATATGCAGAATTAAGGATGTGGCACAAAATAGAATGTGTTAAGGGCAAAGAATTTGAGGGCAGAGAATTTTCTTCTGGGAGGGACAAAGAATCTTTGAGAGATAGGATTTCTTTGAGTATAGAGTTTTGGAGGACACACCCATACTTAGGGGGCAGGAGGAAGATGAACGAGTGGAGGAGATTGAGAAGAAAATGATGAGGCAGGTAAGTAGAGAACCAGGAGCCAGCAGTGTCGTGGCAGCCAAAGGGGCATATTCAATAGAGTGTGGTCTACATTACAGAAAGGTCCAGGAGGAAGAAGACCAAGGAAAGGCCATGGGATCCAGCCACTGAGAGGTCATTGGCTTCTAGAAGAAAAGAGTTTCAGTGGCATGGCGATGACAGAAGCCAGACTATAGGACAGCAAGGAGGGAGCCGTGAGTGTAGACTGTTGTCTCTGGAGGTTAGCAGGGTCCACCCATTGCCTGGCACATAGTAGGCACCTAGCACATTCTTGATGCACAAGTGTTCTAGTTTTTATGACCACTTCCTTCAGCCAGGCACGTCCATGCTGATAGAACTGTGGGCATTCAGCTTTGGCCCCATGCTGGTGGATTGCATTCCAAGACTTTGTTACTAACTCTAGCATTCAGTATAATGTAATGGCTGATGAACTTCCTCAAAAGGGAGGGACAGCTAAGCAGGGCCTTGCCTTGCAGTATTCTGGAACCCGGGACATCATCATCATGTAGAAACTTGTTACTCAGAACCAGGGACGTGCTGGAGCCAGTTCAGATTGGCTCACGAGCACTGACTGTCAAATGTCACAGTGAGCACGTATACCTTGGACATTGGCAAGTGCTACACGTCAGGGCTTGAAAGTGACCAAATATGGGAGTATCACAGATTGAAATTAGAAGTGTGCTATACATGCCTCCCCAGAGTTGGTTGTTAAACACTTACCAGCAAACCCCTGCTTAGAACTGTGTAAAACAAGTGACTGATTCTCCAAAGACCGTGTGTTGGTAGCTGAACTAGCAGGTGCTACCATGCACAGCATGTCAGGTGCACACATGATAGAGTCTTGTGTAGTCTCAGGACTTGGGGGTTCCAGAACCTGAAAGTGTGGCCTATGGAATGTGCCACCAAACAGCTCCAGAAAAACCTCCCTTTGTCAACACAGTGGTAGAAAACCCACCAGCATCACGTCCCCGGCAGGGTGGAAGAGGCCTGCTTTGGGCATCGGGAGGATAGCTATTGCTTCTCATAAGAAGAGTATGAGGGGAAGTAGCCAACAATTTTTTGAAACAATTCAAGACTTTTTTCAAAGGCTTAGTCATTAATCTGAAATTCATACTTAAGGTCTTCTGTTCTTTGCGGGAAGATAGGGTCCTAGTTTGGGGGAGTTCAAAGTTCAGGATTACCTAGGTACAACATAGGACATTTTAGTCACTAGTTTTTTTTTTCTTAGCAAAATTTATTTTAAAAGCTTTCCAATCATATAGCTCTTAATGCAGTTCTTTTTTTATTAATTTATTTTGATTTATCAACAATCACTTCCATAAGCTTTTGAGTTTTAATTTTTCTTCCCCTTTCTCCCCAGGATGGCACACAGTCTGATATAGGTTATACATATACATTCCTATTAAACATATTTTCACATTAGTGATGTTGTAAGGAAGAATTAGAACCAATAGGAGGAACCATAAGAAAGAGAAAACAAAACAGAAGAAAAAAAATAGCAAATAGTATGCTTCGATCTGCATTCAAACTCCATAGTTCTTTCTCTGGATGTGGATAGCATTTTCTATCATGAGACCTTTGGAGATGTCTTAGATCCTTGCATTGCTGAGAAGGGCTAAATCTATCAACATTAGTCATCTAGTCACTAGATTTCAACTAATCTTGTGAATTCTTTCCCTCTTCTTCAATTTAATTAAACAAAATACTGAGTGAGTAATGTTAAATGATCCTTCTTATGCTTTTAAAAAATTTGAGTATACTTTCTGTTTTATAGATAATTTCCATGGAGGACATTTTGAGATACATTTTAATAACGTACGAGTACCTGTTTCCAACTTAATACTAGGTAAGATATGTTTAGAAGATGTTTCTTAAGAATAGTGTATGTTTTAGAGAGTAACTTCTCAGGAAATTGTTATTAAAAATCAGACTCATCATTAGGGAAATTGTCAATTCAGAGAGATCAGTAGGAAAATGGAACAATAAAATTTTAGTAAAGTGCTGGGTATCGGTTTGTACTCTACTTAAATGTATAGGGCACACTCAAATATGAAACAAAATCATAAATGTACCTTGTTTCTCCTAAAATAATGGTCTTACTGTAATTTAATACTTTGTCCTTGTTCTTAAACTACTCCATTTCATTCTTGATTCACTTCTTGCATGTAAGGTGGAAATTTAAGCAATGCTGAACATTCTTTGCATTTACATTTTCACCTAGGCAGCTAGTGGGACCCTCAGTCTATAGATATTTATTAAGCACCTACCCTGTGCCAGGCACTGTGCTAATCTCTGGGGGTACAAATGCAAATTAAAACAAAAACAGTCCCTGCCCTCAAGGAGTTTCCAATCTTATGGGGAAGACAACACACTAGAAAAAGCTGAAAAGCTTGAAGGGAGGCAGAGAAAAGGTACCAGAAGCTGGAACATGTTAGCGGGTCCAGAGAAGTCCACAAGCAGGGTAACTAGTGGGAAATGGGGAGGTAAAGTAGATAGAGTATTGGGCCTGGAGTCAGGAAGTCCTGAGTTCAAAACCAGCCTCACACACTGACTGGCTGTGTGACCCTGGGCAAGCCACTTAATCTACAAAATGGAGATAATAAGAGTGTTGAGGTTTAGATGTTAGGGGTCCTGGGACCCCAAAATCATGACACATGGGTGCTGCCTGAAAGAATTCAAACCAAGCCTTCTTTCAGCCAAAGACAAGGTTTATTAAAGATGAACCATATAAGCCACTCTTAAGGAATCTGAGCATTTGTGATGCTTCTAAGGAGGAGTGGGCGTGAGGAAGTCTCAGCCCCTAAATGGCGGCCAGGGTGGATCTTATATATAGCCAAGTAGTTTGGAGGGACTGGGAGAAGGATCTTGAAGTTGAGGTGACTGGGGGAGGAAGGGTCCTGGGAGAATCCCCATGGCAGTGTCTGGGAGGTTGAGTGGGGTCATCCAGGAATAGACAGTGGAGGGCTAGGCTTTATTATGGTAACAAAGAACTGGAAGATCGGGCCTAGGTGATAAGGAAGAGCCAGTCCATCTGTCCATTAGAATAAGAATAACTTCTGGAGACTGCTAGACTTCCTTGAACAGGTAAAGGTTCAAATAGAGTTCAAGGGTTTTCTGGGGCCTGTAGACAAACGGGACCCAAATTCTTTTTAGGGTAAGAGGCAAAGGTCTTGCTTGGGCCTGGGCCCCATCATTAGCACCTCCTTCCCAACGTACTTGTGAAGATCAAATGGGACAATATTTGTAATGCACTTTTACAAACCTAATGGCATTATATAAATGTTAACTATTGTTGTTATTTAGTAATTTGTCTTGTGGTTTTTAAAAAAATAAATATAAAAACAATTCCTGTAAAGGCAATTAGGTAGTACCATAGTGCACAGAGCTCTGGGCCTGGAGTCAGAAGTCTTGAGTTCAAATTTGACCTCAGGGGCAGCTAGGTGGCGCAGTGGATAGAGCTCCAGCCTTGGAGTCAGAAGGACCTGAGTTCAAATCCAGCCTCAGACACATAACACTTACTAGCTGTGTAACCCTGGGCAAGTCACTTCATCTCTGTCTGCCTCAGTTTCCTCAGCCATAAAATGGGAATAAAAATAACAATAACAATAATAATAGCATGGCTGCAAAGCGTGGAATCAAAGTGTGTTTAGGGCCAAAATTGTGGGTCATGTTTCGGGCAGCAAAGTGACGCATGGTGGTGATAAATAACCTATCAGACATTACCACCAATGACTTCTGTATAAAGAAGGGCATAAGGAAATGTGTGCCCCAAAGAGGATATGAGTGAACTGAGATAGGTAGACCAGGGGTCTGCGGGCTATGGGCTCAGTGGCCCACAAGCAAAACTGGTTTTGTAGAAAGCCCCAGGCACCCAGGCCATGGCCTCCTGAGGCGGGCAGTCCCCACTGTGCATTGGTGCTTCTGATGACAGCAGGTTAGAAGGCCGCGAGAGAGCCTGCTGGGGTGATGGGCGGATACTTCATGGAGGGTTATGGAAGGCAGCACACCAGGGTCACACCAGAGGCAAGAATGGATTGTAGTCAGTGCTGATGGAGGGAGGGATGCGTGTGTGGATTATGGATTCATTGAAGTGTCTTGTATATCATGCATGGCCTGTCTTTTTCTCTGCTTTTCCATTTATTTTACACAGGTGAAGGAAGGGGCTTTGAGATTGCCCAAGGCCGACTTGGACCTGGCCGCATCCACCATTGTATGCGATTAATAGGTATGGCCGAAAAGGCTTTACAGATCATGTGTGAGCGAGCGGTCCAGAGAGTGACCTTTCAGAAGAAATTATACGCACATGTAAGAATGTCTTCAGTAGACGTACTTCATTTGGCTCTGTGCTAGCTAAGCATTCCTGGCACCAATTCCTCTTAGAAACAAGATTTTTTCGCCGACATAAAAGAAGTGTGTGTACGCTTAGAGATGTCAGAACTTAAGGTTAAGTGATTTGGGTTGTGCCACATCCAAATTCTCTGAAAATACAGAGGGATTCCGCATTCCTGACCAGTAATTGCAGGAATATATCTGTATGTCAAGTGAAGTCAGAGATAGTGCTTTTTGAGGTTTGCAGAGGGTTTTACACATATGATCTCATTTGAGCTTAATGAAAATCTTGTGCAGATATTATTATCCCTGCTTTATAGATGAGGAAACAGGTTCAGAGAGCCAGAAGCTCAAAGAGGAGATTAGGACTCAGGCGTGTCAGGCTTCCAGCCCAGCATTCTTGAGAGAATGCACCTGAAGTTCAGAGGACTTGGGGTTGACTTTTTTTAATCTGCCAGGAAGCATTTATTAAGCACATACTGTGTACCAGGCACGGGGCTAAATTCTGAATATATAAAGACAAAAATGCCATTATTCCTGCCCTCAAGAAGCTTATATTCTATTTTGTTTTAATTATTTTTTTCTGGATTTAACAAAATACCAAACAAAGAATATTTCCATGTACAAAGTAGAACAGAAAAGGGGGTTGTGTGAAAATGTGAATCTTTATTGCATACAACTTGCTTTTTTTTTAAAAAAGGATATAATAAAGTTAACACTTTACTTTTAAAGCTGTCCTGCTTATCTGTGTTTCCTTCTAAAGGAAGATGTGAGACACTGCCAGCCGAGGCCATCAGACATGAGCTCCCTCCCTTCCTTCATTCTTCAAACTGTCTTCAGCATCCTCACCCTGTTGGGGGCCCTTCCATTCACCAAAGAGAGTCCTAAAATTCACAAGCCTCTCTATCTGTGCCCATAATCCCATTTCCTCCTGCATTCCTGACCTTGTTCTAGGACACAGCAATCTATCATCTCCCCAGCTCCACCAGCTCCTTGCTTTCAGCTTACAAACATGCTCATCTACCTGAATCCTAAAAGATGGACATTATGCCCTCAGCTCCTCTCCCATCTGTCTCCTAAATATCTTGAAAAAGTTTTCTACCCCAAAGTTTCCCACTTCCCAAGTCTTTGCAGTAGGACTCCTGTCTCACTTCACTAAAATTGTTTGCCAAGTTCACCAATAACTTCAGAATCACCCAATCAACAGGCCACTTTTCACGTTCTGTGACCACGCTGCAGCTTTTAATGCTATTGACCACTCCTCCTCCCCTTTCCTCTCAGTGCACTAACCATGCTCTGCCCCCCTCAGCTTCAGAGATTCCTTATTCTCCTGGTTGTCCTGCTTCTCTACCTGTTGTTGTCTCTTTGGCAGCCTCTTCTCCATGATCCCTGGACGTGGGTTTGCCCAGAGGTCTAGATTAGACTCCCTTTCTCCTTCTTTCCATGCCTTCAACCTTGACAGTCTCCCTCACTTCCACGTTTTCACTTTTGGTCATTATGGTGATGACTCACAAATCTCTTTCTCCAGTCGAGATCTTTCTTCTGAGCTCCAGAATCATGTCTCCAGCTTCCTACAGGACACCATCAACTGGGGGAACTCAGAATGTCCCAAACCTGGCTGATCTTTCTCCCCAAGCTTGTTCTTCCTTACAGTGTCATCATCTACCATTCATTGGGTAGAACCATCACCACCTGCTCCTCCATGTTCATAATCCTGGAATCATCTCAGACTCTGCTGGTTCTTATCTCAGGTCTCTCCCTTCCCTCTGATGTCACCCAAGATGCCCCCATTCCTACCTGCCTGGACTATTGCAGTCGCCTCCTTTTGGGGCTTTCTGCCCCTACCCTCCTTGTCTTCCCCCACTTTGCCCCATCCCCATGCAGTCAGTCCTTCTGCCAGAACAAGTTTTCCTATGCACTGGTCTGATCGTGTCATTCAGTTTGGAAACCTCCAGCAGCTCCCTGCTGCCGACCAAGGAGAGCTCATGCTACTCTGAATGGCATTTGAGGTCACTTGGTAACTAACATCCTCCCTTTCCGGCTTTCTCTGTGCTGCCCTCCAGCCAAAGCAGGCAGCTCTTGGCTCCAGGCCACTGCCCAGATGGATGCTGTGCCTGGAAAGGGCCCACCCTTGGACTGCTGAATTTTTTTACCCCTGAACTCAATGGGCATTTCCCTCAGGAAGCCTTACCCTCAGCGATCACACCACATCCACCCAGGTTTTCCTCACTGCTGACTTGAACGATTGAAGTCTGGGCTCCTCATTGGTCTGCAACATCTGGCCTCCACACCCTGCCAAATTAAATGCCTAGAACACAGAGCCTTCAGTGGCTTCCTATTGCCTCTGGAATAGGATCTGGCCTGTAAAGTTCTTTAAACTGCACCTCCGGCCTGTCTTCTGTACTTCATGGTACTCCCTGCTAGCTGGGCTCTGCCATTCCATCTCCCGACTCCTTGCCTTGGCACAAGCTCTCCCTCATGCCTGTTGAGGGCACCACCCTCCTGCCAGTCTCCCAGTCTTCCAACCTAGGTGTCATCTTCAATTTTTCGTTTTCTTTCACCCTCTGTATCTTGGCTATTGCCAGAGTCTGTCGATTTCACCTTCACAACATCTCTCAAATTCACCCCCTTCTCTCCTCTGACTCTGCCTCCCCTGGTGTGGGCCCTGTCCCTTCAAGCCTGGGCTATTGCCATAGCTGCTCTGGGCAGGGGAGGGGTCTGCCTTCCTCCAGGCCCTCCCCACTCCATCCTCCATTCAGCCACCAAAGTGACAGCTTCCTCAAGCACCACTTTAACCATGTCACCCCCATACTCAGCAAACTCCAGGGTTCCCTGTCATCTCCAGGGTCCATATGAGATCCTCTGTTTAGCGTTCAGAACGTTCCGCACCTCTCATACCCTCCTGCTTTTCACACTCCCCTCCCATCTACTCTTTGATGCCCTGACACTGCCCTCCTTGCTGTTCCTCCCCTTTCCAGATCTGTGCATTTTCTCTGACTGGCCTGCAGACCGGGAATGCTCTCTGCTTCCTGGCTTCCTTCAAATTACATCCAGATTCCCACATTCTCCAGGAAGCCTTTCTGAATAGCTGTTAATTCTAGTGCCCTCCTTCTGCTGACTGTTTCCAAATTAGCTTGACTGTACGTGTGTTGTCCATATGTTGTTTCCTCCATTTGACCATGAATTGCTGGAGAGCAGGAACTATCTTTTACCTTTTTTGTATCCCCCGACTTAGCGCAGTGCCTGGCACATAGTAGGCACTTAATAAATGTTTACTGCCTGCCTGGCTCCACACACTGCCTCCCCCTTCGATTGTAGCTGTCAGTGTTTGGTACAGGATGGTAGAAGTGCATGGGGTGGAGGGGCAGGCAAGCATCAACATATCCTGGTGGCACAAGGGTACATCTGGCACCAATCAAATAATGTGCCAGAAGGCAAGCAAAGACATGTGAGCATGTTGTGAACGATAACATTCCACTTCCCTGAAAGTGCTAGAGCCTCCCTCCAGATGTCTGGTACTGAATTACTTCAGGTCAGAGGTCCATATTAATCCATAGTGAGCAGGTTAATAAAGAGAATTAGCTCTTTTAATCCTCTAAAGAAGGTATTTGAAATATGGTGATTCTTTTTTCCAAAGCTAACATATATTTTAGTGGGGAAGAAAGAGCATAGGTAATAGTTCCTATGTGAATTTTTTTTTCTCCAGAGAAACAACTTTCCTTATTAAAATTATAAATATGGCTCATTCTGATTCTGGGGGCAAAATGGTTATCATCCAGTTTCACAACAGAAGGGTGTGACTGCAGGTTTACTTGAGATTGTTCATTTCTGTCAAGGTTCAGTCTCCAGGGCACAAATGGCAAATAGCTGACAGCTGGAGATTGAGTGGCAGAGCCAACATCACCCTGGAAGACAGGTGTAACTTTCTATTCTGTTAAGGCCATGTGATTATGAGTTGATCCCCACCAGTATTCCCTTAATCACGATTGGGCATTGAGAGTGATCCAGCAAGCCGGATCACTTCTGTAAGAAACACGTAGGATGAAGCCAAACTTTTGATTCTTGCTGAAAATGGAACATTCCATTGCTGATGGATGTTCCTCAGGGATGCATTCTGAAGAGGAAAAAAAGGCCTGTTTTACTGCACCTCAGATTGCTCATCTGGTCCAAGATAAACTGGCTTACTGACACATCGGAATGTTTTCTACTTTGAAAAAAATAGACGTCAGTAGTAAGCTATGTAAAAGAATGTGTGATTAGTTTGCCGTGAAATTCTGTCTTACCTCAGTGTGTTGGAACACAGAGTTAACATGACTCTAGGACCAGACATTATTCTAAGGAGATTGGAGTTTCTACTCACTTTATTCTTACAATGTTATTATAAAGCTAATTAGCATCCGCAAAGGAAGCTGATTTAAAACAACAATGCACATCCCAAAGGCCAGTGCCCTGGATTTGGATGAAGAGGCCCAGGGGTCAGAGTCCCTGCGGGGCTTTCAGCCAATTACTTAATCTTTCTGGGTGCAGTTTTCTCATCTATAGCATTAAGAGTTTGAATGAGGGCCCTGTCCTGTCAGCATTAAGTCTACAATCATATAAAATTTTGGGCAAGTAAATTTTAATTAAAATTGAAAATGTAATATCCAGCATTATGCAGTATCTGTCAGGCTCACAGCCATGGCATCATGTCTACTACTTTTCTTTAGCAGAAACAGCTTTGTGGAAGATATCCAACCTTTTCATAGTGATTTTCAGGTTTAAAGCTTTTCGTGTTTTGTTTCCTTATTTTGAGGGAGGCTGCAAGGCTGTGTCAGCATTCGGTTCATGTGTTAGAGAGAAACTGATGCTTCCCACCTTTTTCTTCTCCTGTAGGAGGTAGTGGCCCACGGGATAGCTGAAAGCCGCATTGCTATTGAGGAGGTGCGCCTGCTGACCCTGAAAGCGGCCCACAGCATTGACACGGTGGGCAGTGCCCAGGCAAGGAAGGAGGTAAACCTGGTCACTGCAAAATCTGCTGCTGGCTTGGGGACTCTGTGCCTTCAGACCAGGTAGTGCAATGAATAGAGCACCAGGGCTGGCATCAGGAAGACCTGAGGTCAAATCTAGCCTCAGACACTTACTAGCTGTGTGGCCCTGGGCAAGTCACTGAGTCTTCCTCAGTTTCCTCATGGGTAAAATGGGGGTAATGGCATCTATCAAAAACCATCAGCAAGCATTATGTGTTATGGGGATAAGCTAGAAGCATTTCCAGTAAGATCAGGAGTGAAACAAGGATGTCCGTTATCACCATTGTTACTCAATATTGTGCTAGAAATGTTAGCTATAGCAATTAGAGAAAAAAAAGAAATTGAAGGAATTAAAATAGGCAAAGAAGAAACAAAGCTGTCATTCTTTGCAGATGATGTGATGATACATTTAGAGAATCCTAGAGAAGTAAAAAATTACTTGAAATAATAAATTTAGCAAAGTTGCAGGATATAAAATAAACCCACACAAATCATCGGCATTTCTACACATTACTAATAAAGCCCAGCAGCAAGAAATAGAAAGAGAAAGTCCATTTAAAGTTATTGTAGACATTATAAAATATTTGGGAGTCTACCTAACAAAACCAGGAACACAATTACACAATTGAACACAATTACAAAACACTTCACACAAATAAAGTCAGATCTAAATAATCGGAAAAATATCAGTTGCTCATGGTTAGGCTGAGCTAATATAATAAAAATGACAATTCTGCCTAAATTAATTTACTTATTCAGTGCCATACCAATCGAACTACCAAAAATTATTTTAGAGAGCTATAAAAAACAATAACAAGATTCATCTGGAAGAACAAAAAATCCAGAATATCAAGGGAACTAATGAAAAGAAATGCAAGGGAAGGTGGCCTAGCTGTATCAGATCTTAAATTGTATCATAAAGCAACAGTCATCAAAACTACTTGGTACTGGCTAAGAAATAGAGTGGTGGTTTAGTGGAATAGGTTAAGTATGCAAGACACAACAGTGAATGACTATACTAATTTACTATTTGATGAATCCAAAGACTCCAGCTTCTGGGATAAGAAATCACTATTTAACAAAAACTTCTGGGAAAACTGGAAAACTGTATGACAGAAACTAGGCATAGACCAATATCTTATACTGTATACCAAGATAAAGTCAAAATAGGTACAGGATTTGCGTATAAAGACTGACACCAACTAGAAGAGCAAGGAATAGTTTACCTTTCAGATCTATGGAGAAGGGAAGAATTTATGACCAAACAAGAGAAAGAGAATATTATGAAATGTAAAATGGATAATTTTATTATATTAAATTGAAAATACACAAAGCCAATACATCCAAGATTAGGAGTGAAGCAAAAAACTGGGAGAGAATTTTTTACAACCAGTATCTCTGATAAAGGCCTCATTTCTAAAAGATATAGAGAACTAAGTCAAATTTATAAGAATACAAGTCATTCCCCAATTGATAAATGGTCAAAGGGTATGAACAGGCAGTTTTCAGAGGAAGAAACTAAAGCTAGTCATATGAAAAGATGTTCTAAATCACTACTGTTTAGAGAAATGCAAATCAAAACAACTCTGAGGTACCACATCACACCTATCAGATTGGCTAACATGACAAAAGAGGACAATGATAAATGTTGGAGAAGATGTGGGAAAACTGGAACACTGATATATTGTTGGTAGAGTTGTGAACTGATCAGCCATTCTGGAGAGCAATTTGGAATTATGCCCAAAGGGCTATCAAAATGTGCATACCTTTTGACCCAGTAATAGCACCTCTAGGTCTGTATCCCAAAAAATCATAAAAACGGGTAAAGGACCTACATGTACAAAAATATTTATAGCAACTCTTTTTGTGGTGGCAAAGAATTGGAAATTGAGGGGATGCCCATCCATTGGTGAATGGCTGAGCAAGTTGTGGTATATGAATATAATGGAATACTATTGTGCTATAAGAAATGATGAGCAGGCAGACTTCAGAAAAACCTGGAAAGACTTACATGAACTGATGCAGAATGAAGTGAGCAGAACCAAGAGAACGTCGTACACAGTAACAGCCACATTGTGTGATGACTGACTTTGATAGACTTCACTCTTCACAGCAATGCAAGAATCTAAGACAACTCCAAAAGACTCACAATGGAAATTGCTATCCACATCCAGAGAAGGAACTACAGAGCCTAAATACAGATGGAAGCAGACTATTTGCTCTCCTTTTTTTTTGTTGATTTGTTTTATTACTTCATTCTCACGGTTCTTCCCATTAGTTCTAATTGTTCTTTACATCATGACTAATGGGAAAATATGCTTAACATGCATATATATGTAGAGCCTATATCAGATTGCATGCCTTCTTGGTAGCGGAGGAGAGGAGTGGGAGGAGGAGAAAATTTAAAACTCAAAATCTTATGGATGTGAATGTTGAAAACTAAAAATTAATTAATTATTAAAAAAAATAAAATAAGGGTAATGATAGCACCTACCTCCAAGGGTTGTCGTAACGGTCAGATGAGATAATAATTGTAAAGCGCTTAGGCCAGTGCCTGGCACAGAGCAAGCACCATATGAATGTTAGCTCTTTGTTAGCCTAAGAATTCCAGATTGCAAAGAATATAATTAGGACGTCTGATGTGCACATGTGCTTTTTGGTTTCAAAACTTGAAATGTCTTTCGTTTTCAGATTTCATCTAATGAAGTAATTTGAGGGAATTGTTTGCACAATTCCTGTTTTCTGGGAGTTAGTCTTCAGCAGCCAGCTTGTGTTTGTCTCTGATGTGACACTTTCCATTTACTACAGCTTGGAATGGATGAACAGACTCCTTCTTATGTAGGAAGGGGCCATTTTCTGTAACATGGATGTTTGTTGAGAGGGGCTCAGGTTCACATCCTGCCTCTAACACATGTTAGTTGTGTGACCTTGGACAAGTCACATAACTTCTTGGTGCCACTCCTCTGAGAGCACCAGTGACTGACTAGCTGCCCACGTCGGTCAGTGAGGGACTTTCTGCACCAGGCTTCCACAGCAGGGAAGTCGCAGGGTTGGTCAAAATGACAAATGGTGAATATGGATTGGGTCACAAGGACATGGTTATAGCTGTCTGAGGGAACATCCTGTTTCCTGAGAGAATCCTGCAGGATCATCCTGCAGTTCCATTTCACATGTGTGTAAAGACACGTAGATTGGATCAGATTTTCCCAGGTGCTGTATCTCACTGTTTTCACTCCTTATATTTACAGATTGCCATGATCAAGGTGGCCGCCCCACGGGCAGTCTGCAAAATTGTGGACCAGGCCATTCAAGTTTGTGGAGGAGCTGGAGTCTCTCAGGATTTCCCTTTAGCCCAAATGTGAGTAGAAATCATTTAAATACTGTCTCTTAAAATGCTTGGGGGGCAAGGGTGGGGGTGGGGGGTTGCAGAGAGAAGCTCTGACCCTCCCTGTCTGCTGTCTCCATTGTTGTCCTTTGTCCTCGAGGAGGAGCAGGCTCGGGCTCTGCGAGGTCTAAGCATGACATGGGAAGAGGTGGGGAAGCGGGCTGAGCGTGCTGAGGAGTCAGCAGGGATGCTCCCTTGGAGAGCCCACCCATTGGCTCACACTCTCAGGACATGCCTGGCTCAGGCTCAGGCTCATTCCCTTTACACGCTGCCTGTGGCAGTGTGAGCCAAGGACATCTGCCTAGGATTGTAACTTACTGGCAATCAGAAGGAAGCCTTTCCCCAGCCCCGCCCTCTGGGCATGACTGAAGGGGGGGTTGGCACCCCTACTGTACCCCCCCCCCAGACCATTGGGTGCAGGCCGTTGGGTGTTGGCCGCTGGGCCCAGCAGTAGCATTTCTTTGAGTTGCACTCTAAGGACCAGACTTCCATTACTAGTATCCAGGTGACAGATGTCTGGAAGTCCTCCTCCCAAGTCTGAACAGACAAAACGCCAGCTCAGCCAGTTTGTGGGTCGTCTCCGCTCCATTCCCTGGCCCCCATTGACCTGACTTCCCTTCCTTTCTGACCGGTTGCCTTGCTGAGCTCCCTCTTGGCAGGATCTCCCAGCTTAGCACCACTGTTACTCTGCACTGTGGCTAATGTGGAAGTTGGTTTGCCTCTGAGTAGACTCTCCCCCAATCCTCTCTGCTCTAGGTATGCCGTGATTCGAACCTTACGGATAGCAGATGGGCCCGATGAAGTTCATCTCTCTGCGATTGCAAAAATGGAACTGCGAGAACAAGGCCGCCAGCTGAGCGCCAGGATGTAGGGCCGGTGGGGCCGGGTCCCACCAAGCGTCCGAGGTGGCCGGGCACAAGCGTCCCTGGTTAAGTAGCCAGTGAATCAAGCTCTTCGTGTTAAATCTTGTGTTTTTGTAGGAATTGGAAAGATTCTTTGACAGCCTCATAACTAATCAAAGCATAGGAAATATTTGGATCTATTTTTTTTGCTTTTTTACAAATTATTAACCCTTATCTTGCCTACAATTGATGGTAATTCTGGTATCTGTCTGGTTAGGTGAATTTTCCAGTTAAGATGTATTCCAAATAGCTAATTCTTTAGCTGTCAGTCACCTAGACTGATAGTAGGATCTTTGATTGGGCTTTGGCTTTTTAAACTTCTCATTTGAGTGAATTGATGGCAAAGAAGCACAAGTGCCATGAGAGTGGTACAGAAGGCGTGAGGTTGGCCTTGAGGCCCGGACACTGCTTGTGCTTGTTTGTGGCGAGGAAACACTGAAAGCAGAGATCCCCAGCCTGGTGTTCGTGAACTTGTTGTTGCTGTTGTTGTTTCACACTTTGACAGTTGCATTTCACTGCAATTGATTACCTCTGTAATCTTCTATTTAAAAACACGATTCTGAGAAGGAGTCCAGAGACCTCCCCAGACTGGGCCCAGCAGGCCCATGGCACCCAAAGGTCAGAACTCCGTGAAAGGCGTATTTGACGGTTGCTGTGTAGTCAGACAAGGGGAAGCCTTTACAACACCATGGTGAAGAAACAAGTGGGCTGTCTGCCTCTGAATTCAGAGATAAGTCATCAGAGCCTGCTCTGTCTAGAGCACGGGTGCTGGGGACTGAGGGAGCAGAACAAAATGGAGCTTGTCTTGGAGGAATTTACATTCTAACCTTACACATGAAGAGGGGTGACATTGAATGGGACGTGATTTGCCACATACTGTATGGAATTAATTACAATTACAAATTGTAATGCGCTTCTAGTGCATCTAAGCTCTAAATAGTATTTCATATCTTCTGTGAATTAAACACCAGATGTTGCAAGAAAACAATCCAGAACAACTTTATCACATTGGTAGACAGACTATCAGACCTTTATTGAATCTTGTCCTCAGGATTGTATATCATTTTGCTGAACCTGCAAATTAGACCTTACTTACTGAGTTTCCTGCCAGAGTGAAAAGGAGCCTTGTCAGATGTGAACCTTTCAGAAATGATTTGAGATCTTTAGAGTTTTTAAAGATTGTTCTAATGGACAGCCTTAATCATATCTCTTCTTGTGCCATCATTGTTGTTGAGAAATCAAGTCTTTAAGGCATGTTAAAAATCCTTGTATGCTGCTGGAACAAATTACTGTAATTATACTAAAATGCCAAATAAAAGAAAGTATTGTTCTAATAAGGTTTTTAAATCACCTTGATTGAAGCACATTTAGAAGATTTTTGTTTCTGGAGATCATTTCAACCTGCATTTTAATTTCTTCCCAGGGCAAGTGAAGGTAGTGGGATGATTCTTGGGACACTTAAAGTGGACCCAATGCTGTAACTCAAACTCCTCAGCCCAGTTGTGCTCTGGAGGAGTGAGGGAAGCCAGGATTGCTTATGAAGCATCATACCTAAAGCTTACATCTGTCTATCCAGCATTAAAAAAACCAAAAGCCTTTTTGCCTTTTCCTCTTTGCCACAGGGGGGTACTTTAAGGTGACTTAGATGCTGGTGTCTTTTTAGATCAATGTATTTTCCAAACAAAAAGTAGATTCTATTCAGGGCACTCCCTGAATGAGAAAAAAGGGGGGGGGGGCAAATCATGCAATGTGGTCTCTTCCCTCCTCTCAACATTTTTATCCTGGTGAAATCAGGCTCAAGTGAACCTTGAAGGTAGGTTTGTAGGGTCAAAAAAATGATCAGCAGAGGGGCAGTAAGCAGGCTGAGTGGGGTTGGGAGGGAAAAAGGTCAGTTTCTGCCCTGTAGCCTTGGTGTTGGTATAAGGGTTGATAGACCAGCTGTCTCTCTACCAAGCGGCATCTAGTCATAACCCAACACAATGGTAGCTGCCTTCTTGGCATCTGTTTCTCAGATGAAGAAGCTGAGTGACAGGAGGGTGGCACCACTGTAAATCACAAACCCTCCAGACATTGTAAAAGGGGCCTACAAAAGCAGCTCTCTCATTGGACAGCATCTCTCAGGAGTTCTGTTCATAAAGTACATTTTGCCATGTCTTCCAAACAGGTTTTAGTTAATAAAGTATAAACATTATGAATAAAAGAACACTGGAAACAGATTGAAAATGTCTACTAACATTTAAATTAAAAAATTAAATCTGATTAGGCAAGGGGCTGCTTATCCAGGTCACTTTGCACATAACAAGTTGTTAATAAATGCTTTTTCCATTCATTCTTTTGTTCCATTAGACTCCTTATACAAGGCAGAATAAGGAAACTCAAGGCAGAGTTGTTCCTTGTTAGCACTTGTGTTAAAAGGTTTAAAGGTTGCCCAGTTCAGCTGTTGATCCATCTTCTGCTGGTCTCTTATTTGTACAGATAATTGAGGAGGGATAGTGTGTAACAAAGAAAAGGATGTCTTCAAATAGATTAAGGAGTAGTTAACTCTAGGTTTTTAAGTAAGCAGAATAAAGGATGCAAATCAACCATCTCTGCTTCCAAGCAAGTTAGTTACGAAGTAAGACATTAATGACTAAGAAACATTGGGCAGAACTTCCCTCAAAAACACTCTCTGAGAAAATGTTTTTGTTCCAAAGCAGGAGGTTAACATCCTCAACTTTCTTCAATTTGTCAAGTATTAATTTTAAAGTATTTCATAATTCTGTCACCTGGTGTTTTCCTTACTTCGAACATGCCAAAAGGAGAGAGGCTGGAAGACTATCTCTAATCTAGTTAAGTGTGTATCACATGGGAAGAGCCAAGATGGCAGAGAGAAGCTGGGAAGTTCTCTGAGCTCTCCCCAGTTTCTCTCGGAAACAACATTAAACAAAGCCTCTAAGAGAATTCTGGAACAACAGAATCCACAAAAAGACAAAGTGAAACAATTTTCCAACCCAAGATAACTTACAAGGACTACAGGAAAGGTCTTTCTCACTTGAGTAACAGAAAAGCACAGCCCAACTCATGCAGTGTTCAGGCAAGCCAGTGGGAGGCTGTTAGCCCCAGCACAGGTCAGCAACTGAGGCCCCTCAGTGCTGGCTCAGCAGGCCAGTGGTACAGCAGGCCAACTGTGAGGCCTCTAGCCTCAGAGCAGCAGGCAAACTGATAGCCCCAGGACCCACAGCACAACAGGCACAACTAGGCTGGGACACCCCAGTGCAGTGGGCAAGCCACCAGCCCCCAGAGACCCCGGCACAGATAGCCAGGGAACAGGCCTCTGGTCCCCAGTGCAAGAAGCTTGGCACAGTGCCCCCTGTATCCTAGGAGCAGAGCTCAACTTTTTAAAATTAGCAAAAAACAAAAAAGAGCTCTGACTATAGAAACCTACCATGGCGACAGGGAAGATGAAAATACAAACTCAGGACAGGACAACAATGTCAAAATCCCTACTTATGAAGCCTCAAAGGGGAACATGAATTGGTCTCAAGCCCAAAAAGTCTTCTTGGAAGAGCTCGAGAAGGATTTTAAAAATCAAGTAAGAGAGATGGAAGAAAAATTGAGAAAAGAAATGAGAGTTATACAGGAGAATCATGAAGAAAGAGTCAGCAGTTTGGAAAAGGAAGCTGAAGAAATTGGCTGAAGAAAACAACTCCTTAAAAAAATATAATTGGCCAAATGGAAAAGGAGGCACAAAAGTTAACAGAAGAAAATAACTCCTTAAAAATTAGAGTTGGGCAAATGAAAGCTCATGACTTTATGAGACATCAAGAATCAGTCAAACAAAATCAAAAGAATGAAAAAATAGAAGAAAATGTAAAATACCTCATTGGAAAAACAACTGACCTGGAAAATAGAGCCAGGAGAGATAATTTAAGAATTATTGGACTACCTGAAATCCATGATTAAAAAAAAAAAGGATCCTGGACAGCATCTTTCAAGAAATTATCAAGGAAAATTCCCCTGATATTCTATACCCCAAGGGTAAAATCGTCATTGAAAGAATCCAGTGATCACCTCCTGAAAGAGATCCCAAAATGAAAACTCCAAGGAGAAAATACTGCAAACAGCCAGAAAGAAACAATTCAAATATCAAAGGAGCCACAATCAGAATTACACAGGTCTTAGCAGGATCTAAGAACTTAAAGTATCAGAAGGCTTGGAATATGATATTCCAGAAGGCAAAAGAGCTTGGATTACAACCAAGAATTAACTACCCAGCAAAACTGAGCATAATCCTTCAGGGGAAGAGATGGATATTTAATGAAATAGGACACTTTCAAACTTTCCTGATGAAAAGACCAGAGCTGAACAGAAAATTTGATCTTCAAATATAAGACTCAAGAGCAGCATAAAAAGGTAAACAGGGAAGAAAAATACATGGTATTCAATAAGGCTAAACTATTTACATCCCTACATAGGAAGATGATACTTATAACTCTTAAGAACTGTATCTCTATTAGGTCAGTTAGAAGGAGTATACTTAGAAAGAGGGTATGAGTATAAGTTGACTTTGATGTGATGATTAAAAAAAATTAAGGGGTGAAAAAAAAGGATTGTACTGGGAGAAAAGGAAAGGGGGTGGCAGAATGGGGCAGATCATATCATATGAAGAGGCATGAACGATCTATTACATTAGAGGAAAAAAGGGAGGGGGTGGAGTGAGCATTGTTTGAACCTTACTCTCCTTGAATTTGGCTCAGAGGGAATAACATCTAACCCAGAAACTTATCCCTTTTGGAAAATCCTAACAATTACCAGAAGTAGTCTTGTTCCTGTTCAGGTTTCCCCCTGAACCAAGACACTCTTTCAGTCCTCTGAGTGATATACTCTTCTTGGTAAATAGTATTTTATTTTTTTCCTATTACATGTAAAGATAGTTTTCAATATTTATTTTTTATAAGATTTTCAGTTTCAAATTTTTTCTCCCTCCCATCTCCCTTCCTCAAGACAGCAAGCAATCTGATACAGGTTATACGTATACAATCATGTAAACATATTTAGTCATGTTGTGAAAGAAGAAACATAACGAAAGGGAAAAGCCACCAAAAAAAAGTATGGGGAAAGAGGAAAGAAAAGGGATGGAGGCTGATGGAAGAGCAGGTAGATTGTGAGAGGAGGTGGTGGTCAGAAGCAAAACACTGGTGAGGAGGGACAGGGTGAAAGAGAGAAAAGTATAAAATGGAGGGAAAATAAGATGGAGGGAAATACACAATAATCATAACTGCTAATGTAAATGAAATGAACTATCTCAAAACACAAAAACAAAAAGCAGAGTAGATTAAAAACCCGAATTCTACAATACATTATTTAAAAGAAACTCATTTAGAGGCAGCTAGGTGGAGAAGCGAATAGAGCTCTGGCCTTGGAGGCAGGAGGACCTGAGTTCAAATACAGCCTCAGACACTTGATACTTACTAGCTGTGTGACCCTGGGCAAGTCACTTAACCCCGACTGCCTCATCAAAAAAGAAAACTCACTTGAAGCAGAGAGACACACATAAAAACAAAAGGTAAAAGGCCAGAGCAGAATACATTATGCTTCAGCTGAAGTAAAAAAAAAAAAAAGCTAGGGTATCAATCCTGATCTCAGACAAAGCAAAAGCAAAAATAGATCTAATTAAGAGACAAGGAAGGAAACTACATCTTGCTAAACATATATGCACCAAGAGGTATTGCATCCATATGCTTAGAAGGGTAATTAAGTGAATTACAAGAAGAAATAACAAAACTATACTAGTAGGGGACCTCAACCTTCTCCTCTCAGAACTAGATAACTCTA